CTCTTAGATCTGATCCACATGGGTCTGGGGCACTAAGCAATAGCTCCAGTTTCAACTTCTGGCTTAGTGTCCTGACTTGGATTTACAGACAGCAAATTTTCACTGTGTCCTGAAGTACAATCAGCAGACATTTATAATCCTTTGCGTGACATCTCTTGTGTACAGGGAAACATCCTCTGGGGATGGGAAGGCATCCAAGACCTTCCTTTTTGGCAGAATTAAGTATAAATACTCGTTATACGTAGATGTTAGACATTCCACATGATTAGTACACAGGCGGAGGGGAGGTCCTCATGAGGAAACACTGGACACAAGGGACGTTAGCAGTTAAAAAGAAAGTCTGGCACAAAATGTCTGTGTGACAAGATCAGAGAAGTAGATGAGGAGGTTCTTCCACCACTGATGCCATCTACTCCTGTGCTGTACCCACACAGAGATTGAGGACCCAAGCCAGAGCTCCGAACAAGTCTCTCACAGACCACCTCCTGGAGGACGCCCACCCAGACCCCCTGCTGATGGTGGAGATGACAATGAGGATGAAGATGAAGGTGGTGACTCAGAGCAGGGACCACCCCAAGGAGGCAATCCTCCTCGTCCTGATGACCCACAGGGACCTCCACAAGAAGCAGCCCTTCAGCGTCGTTGTCGGTCTCCTCATCCTGCTAACCAGCAGAGACTACTCCAACAAGAAGAGCAGCAGCAGCTGCAGCAGCAACCATTTCGCCCTCTTCGTCCTGGTAACCAGCAGAGACCACTCCAACAAGGAGGCCAGCAGCAGCAACAGCAAGAACAGCAGCAACAGCAGCAACAGCCAAATGGTCTTCCTTGTCCTGGAAAATAACAAGGTAAATAAAAACATAATCAGGAGCTTCCTGCCACATATCATCCTGCAAAGCCCTGGGGATCTCCAGAACCTTCTCAGTAGATAGAGTTCAAATACCTCCCCAGCTCCATCTCCCCTAGGTCTAGAATTCAGTGGCAGCTGGGATTTAGGCTCACTCTCCACCAAGGGACCTAACTTGTTATTCTCAAAATTCAAGGTGTTAACAAATCCTCTGGGAACATGTTCAAAGTATGTAGTCATGGAACCCATTTCTAAATGTCTAGATTCAGGTATTCCTGGGTATTGTATGATGACCCATTTAAGTTCTCCAAGGTCATTTTGATTTTGAGAAGGACTACATCAAACGCCCCTTTCCCCACATTTACTTGTGTTTCTTTGTAGAATCAAAGTGGTATTCTTTCTCCCTTGCATCCTCTGTCTCCTTGCTCACACTCCAATTGCTGCAATTCCTGTTTCTACTTGACTTTTCTGCTCAGTTCTATTTCCCAACAGCCCTGTCAGTCCAGTATACATTCTAAATTAATACATTCTGTGCCTCCAAGTATAGATTTTTAAATGCTTACTTGCAAATGAATCTATGCTCGCATCATAAAAAGTATGACTGAATTGAAGTTCAGTAGCTATATCTAACAGGCACATCATATGTTACTCCATATATATTCGGATGGAAGTATCATTCATCAATCTGTTTGAACATCCTTCTGCAAACATTTAATCACATATAATCATAACACTTTTTTCTTACAAATAATACCATCAGTTACATGCAGATATCTATGTTGCTGATTTCAAATATCATATTTCAGAAAATTTTCCATACCATTCATGAACATATGTGCATCTTTCTAGTCTTTTTTCTTCCTTCTTTCCTTTCTTCCTCCCTTTTTTCCTTTTCTCTCTTTATTTTCTTCCTTTCTTTCGTACTTTCTAAATTCATTTTTCTTAATTTCTAAATTTCCTTCTTCTCCTCCTCTTCTTCTTGCTCCTCCTCTTTCTCTTGCTCATCCTCCTCTTTCTCTATTATTTTTGTTCCACTGTGTTACTATGCCAAAATTTCGCTCATCAAGCCATGTTTAAGATTCTAAAACTGGTCTTGCTCCCCTATTATAGTTATAGGTTTTAGTGACCTGCTTTATAAATATATCTTTGATCATTTTCAATAGCAACACAAAGATAAGCAATAAATGAATAATCTTTACCCTTTACCGTGTACACAACAATATTATGTGCTAGATGCCTAACCAGAGAGAACAAAAAGAAATAGGGAATGAGAAGGGGAAGAGAGAAAGGAGCTGGGCTCTCACCTACCTTACTTCAGAGACGGCAGCAAGGGATCAGAAGCCTCTTACACGCCACATCTTCCCTATAACCTTCCTTGTTTCTTTGTTTCAGAAAGTGAATGAGAAGATGATGTCCTTCAGGAAGTTGTGCCTTTGGACCATACAGTCACAAGAGCCTCTTCTCTATACCAATAAAATAATTAGCACATGATTTCTGATTGTTGTCTCTCTTTCTGGGGTTGGAGAGTCTGGACTTGGAGGGTCATGGACACGATACAAGAACTTCCCGGACCCCTTCTCATGAATGCTTCCAGAAAGCTCCCCTCTATCTTTATCCACAAGCCAGTTACCAGGGAAACATTTTCAGTATCTTGGTCTTCCTTTGGATTGCATTATACTAATGCAATTTTTAAAAATTATTTCAGTTACATGTACTAATGCTCTTGTAATTTGGAGGAATGAAGGAATACAGAACAAAAGTATGATACATTTTCCAAAAGCAAGTGACTTGGAGTCCTTCAAACATTATGTTAAGATCTACCCTTTTTCTTACAGAATCTGGACTGTCATCCAACTAATATACTAGAATTATAACTGGTGATTTTACACCAGGACACATTAGGCTTTGGGGAACTTCAATTTCTTAGCCACACTTTAATCACATTCATTTACATAACTCGGTAAAGATAAAACATCATTTTTTATTTACCATGTAACCTTAATATATCCAATAATCCTAATCGATTATTTATTTTTTGAGACCCGGTCGTCCTCTGTTGCCCAATATGACCTCAAACTCAATAGACTCCTGCCTCAGTCAAACACATAGCTGAGAATATAATAAGCCCAATGAATCCTAACTAGTTTACTATCTCTCCTTTTATAAGACCAAATACCTTCTTTAGTGATATTAGAAAAGCACAATCTAATCTCCCAAAATTATATTAAACACAAAAAATTTAGTTTTGGGAACAGGTCAAAATGTAAAAAGGTTAAGAATACTTCAATACATACAATCAGAGCTCACTATCAATATCAAAAGTATTGTTAGTTATAACAAAATAGTGTAAGTCAAATATATAGGGCTTTGTAATTGTAATATAAGAACTGAGGTGTCTCACCATTAAGAAAACTCACTTTTCTTTAGAACTCAAGGACTTCATAGAACACTGTATGAACCATAAGATATTATCTTGATGAAATCTCTTTACTGTGTACACAACAATATTATGTGCTAGGTGCCTAACCAGAGTGAACAAATCTTTGATTCTTAGGCCAGTTACTTAAAAGATCAAATTCCTTACCTCGCAAGACTGAATTTTACCATTTTAATAAAGACTAAACCACTTCTAGTTTGCTTCCTATGTCATTTTGATATTAAGAATAACCATTTTGGAAAAAAAAGAATAACTATTTTGGGCTGGGGCTGTTGCTCAGTGTTAGAGCTCTTGCCTCACACTTGTGAGGCACTGGGTTCTATACTCTGCACCACATACAAATAAATAAAGATATATTTTTTAAAAGAATCACCATTTTAATAGTAATTACATAAATGCATTTAATGATAACTTGATTATCTGTATATAAAATTCATTATTTTCTGCAAGTTGTAGTGGCACACACCTGTAAACCTAGCAGCTCAGGAGGCTGAGGCAGGAGAATCTCAAGTTCTAAGCCAGCCTCAGCAACTTAGTGAGGCCCTAAGCAATTCAGGGAGACCCTGTCTCTAATAAAATACAAAATAGGGCTCGGGATGTGGCTCAGTGGTTAAGTGCCCTGGGTTCAATACCCAGTGCAGAAAGAAATTCTTATTCTAGATTCCTTTTCCAAATAACTTCTAATTTTTCTTATACATGTATTTAGCGTTTGTTCTATATTTTCTTCTTTCTTATAGTGGGTAATTCATTTACAATGGTAAGCATTCTCATTTTTCTTAAAAAAAACCTTCATTCCTCAAACTTCATTTGTCCAAAACATAATTTATTTTACCATATGCAAAGTTCATTTTCTTGCTTTTTCTAATATTAATTTGCATATAATAATTAGAATATTTTACTTAATTTTAATTATTATAGGTATACATAAAAGTAGAATTTATTGTTTTGTTTTGTTTTGTTTTATTGGTTGTTCAAAACATTACAAAGCTCATAATATATCATCTTTTATACATTTGATTCATGTGGGTTATGAACTCCCATTTTTACCCCAAATACAAATTGCAGAATAACATCGGTTACACACTCACATTTTTACATAATAGCATATTAGTGACTGTTGTTATTATAGGTATACATAAAAGTAGAATTTATTGTTTTGTTTTTCACTGTCTAGCATTTATTCACACGCAAGGGTAAGAAACAGTGCTTTAAATACAGATAAATAGTTCTGGTTTCTAAAGAAAACAATTCTATATAATTCTAAGTTAAGTATTTTCTAAATTCTTATTAAAAATAGAAGGCTATTTTCATTAAGTTCAACACCACCATAACCCTTTGAGGGCGTAAGGATAAGTGGTGAATTCTATACTCGAAGAAGTCACCAGAAAGATGGGAGATAGTTCACCCACCTCCCTGAACTATATCCCTCAACTGGAAAGAGAATTACTTGTATCATAGATAACATAGCTAATAAATGCAGAAATTATTTGCTATCTAAAGATAACAAATCACTTGGGAAAACTGATAAGAATTTCTCTGAATCAGTTCTGTGGATTCTGAAACTTCACTGCACTGAAGTTTTGATTCCAACGTCTTAAATTCATTTAAACTCCAGGAAGACTTAAATTCCCATAATGAAAGCTTCCTGCTGCTAGGAATGATGGTGGAAAACAGTCTGTGATCATCATGAATGGCACCTAGAGTAAGTAACAAAGTGGTTTACCTAGTAAAGAAGCAACAGTGCTGCCCAGTGAAATAGTCAGTCAAGTGTGGCACTAAAATGACCACAACTGTGAAGGAACAAATCCCAAATCTGTCAGTTTATATCTCTAAGTTGTTATATTTTGAATGTTCAAAATGGCAAAAATATATAGGGTGAAGTATATTCCATAAATAAAGGATAATTTTCAAGCCATGCAGTTTTTTAAAACTACATAAAACATGAGGTGATTGCAATCTTGGTGCCGGAATGGTGCCTGCTCTACTGACTTTCTGCCCAAGATCATTTGACCTCTTCTACTCAGACCTCTACATGATTATCAGAAAATAACATATTTTATAATGACGCTCTTCCGATCTTTTAGATTTTCCAAAAAATTTTGCTTTCTATTTAGATTGATCATGATACAATAGAACAATCTCCAAATAGAACAATCACATGCTTTAAAAACAATCTTGTTCAATAAGTGCAATTTTAAAAGTCCTGCATTAATAACAACATTTGGTATTATAAGAGGTAAAATTATTTGGATTTTTAAAAATGATTACTATAGAATAAAAATTAGATATCCAAACAAAACTTTCATTGCTGTACAAAATGTTAAATTTGATTCTATAGTCTATTGATGCAAAGAATTTTAAGATCTATACCACATTTTCCTAATTGGGATTTTGAAACAATAAGCATAATTCTTAAGCAGATTACTACAACGTTTGCTCAAAGGACAAGCTCCCTTTTGCCAAGAACTCTCTTCTTTAGGTTAGTTGAAGGAATTTCCATTATAAATTCTTGAAAAGCAGTTCTAAACATGATTTAAAATGTCTTACTTTCCTCCCTGTC